AACAAGGCAGTCATTTAACCATGCTTACTATGAAAAGGCCAGGTGTTAGGGATGTATTTCAAGCAGGGTATGGAGGCAATTGGTGAGCCAGTTGCAACATGGGACAGCATAATCCAGATAGTGGAATATGTGTTTGGGATGTGTCAGCTGGCCAATAATAAAACCACAGGAAAAGCCTGACTTACTATCCTCACCATCAGAACCCTCATATTTACTAGGTGGGTGGCAGTTAAAGGTTAGGGTGCATTTTATCTGCTGAAAATGCATCAACTGAAAGCTGCTCCCTAACTTCAATGCATTTGGCCAGCATCCAAAGATTCCATAACTAGTTCCTTACTCCCAGGGGGTGGGGAGGGTTTGCATTTCTGTTTCTCAAACAGCACTCCCTTTCGTACCCTGCCCCAAACTGTTTGTGACATGATGGTGGTGGGGACTTCTGCCATTCTGAACAGGGAACCAGGTAAAAAAACTACTGTACACATTCCCAAACTCATAAATGCAAGTATCCCTTTGGACGCTGGCTATTTTTTTTCAGTCGTGACATTAGTTCTTTCCTCCCTTCTAGTGAGGAAGTGAGGGATAAGCAAGAGGGATCCAATAAGAAAGTTCTGTGAGAAAGCCCCACTGAAATGTAGGAATGGTGTGTTGTAGCATCCACTTACTGAGGCCTCAAACCTAACGTGGGGAAACAGGGACTAAGTTTATCTATAAATTTGTGCACCATTTCCCCTACAAATGTGTCAAACACTGGGTTTTTACCCCCTCTCCAATTTGTCAAACATTAAATACAAACCCATTTCTAGCAGATGATCCTTCACAGGAAAGCTCTAAAACCTTTATGAAAATGTCAGAAGGGATGTGTGGACTGCTGAGCCTAAAGAGGGTGTGATTCCAACAGAAACAAGCCACTACCAGAGGCCCTATTTCTCACCACCATCATTTTTCACTTTTGCAGCTCAAAAGGGATTGTCAGAAGGCTTGCTGTCCCAGTCTTAGCTGGCCTTGAGGGCACATATGGAGGGAGACAGCCTATGAAGGGCTTTAAAAGTTAAAGCTGGCATTTTGAATCAATCCCAAATGCAGGTTGGTAATCAAAGTACCTGATGGTGCAGAACATGACCTGAAAGGCCAGATAGCAGCACAGCTGAAGATTCCAAGTCAGAACTGTGAACTTTTAAAGCAAACACATGGATCAGTGTGGCCAGGTCAGACTGGTCTAGAAGAGAGGAGAAGATAACTGCATGCCAAATAGTTCAAAGTTTTCTTTAAGACATCAAACCCGGAACTGAATTAGACTTTATCAAAGAGAAGCTTGAATGGATAGCAGTCAGAAGATGGGGGACCAGCATTCAGGGAAGGCATTTTCATCCCATAGTAGCAGAAATGCAGAGGACAGAAAGCTCGAGCATCGGTTGAAATATATTCGAGGGTCTGTTTCATTCAGAGAGTCTAAGGAGACACGTGTCCTGTTGTGGAAATGATAACCTTGACTTCTGTCTTAGGCTGATGGGGGCTTCTTTTGAAGACTTCTTGCAGAGCCACCCACAGGCTCTGCTGTGCTTTCTTTGTCAATCAGATCCTCCCCCCATAAACGGGACACTCTGAGCAGAGCTCCACCAGCAAATGTTAAAGGACAGGTGAGTTCAGACAGAGAAAAATCTAGTGGCTAAATAGGGTTGCCAACCTCCAAGTGGGGCCTGGAGTTCTCCTGGAATTACTGCATTATCTCCAGTACTGCAAATCTCCAACTAGATTGAGCTCCAGATGACAGAGATCAGTTCCCCTGGAGAAATGACAGCTTTGGAGGATGGACTCCATGGCATTACATTCCTACTGAAATCCTTCCCCAACTCCACCCCCAAATACCCAGGAATTTCCCAACCCAGAGTTGGCAACCCTAACTGGCAGGAGCTTCCAGTTTCTTTCTGTGCAGGATTCGCAGTGCATAGCGACAGAAGGAAAATTGGAGTTTATGGTTTAAGCCAAAACCCTCTCAGCCTCCCTTGACAAAGTATTTCCTCTGGGAACAGAAGTGCAACAAATTATTCCCAGCAGAGGTGTAAGACCTCTGCCTCATGAGAGTGCCATTAGTGGTCAGCATCTCTAATGCTTTCATATCTGGAATCTCACTACATTGTGACTTATTTGCCTCTTCGTCTCCTAAAAGCAACAATCCAGGTGGGAAGCAGGTGGGCTGGCTCCTCCTTGGCCAGTCTCTCCTCCCCTTAAAGCCTTTAGTCCTCTTCCTGATAGAAGTCTTCTTCCTGATAGAAGATGGATGCTCAGCCTTGAGTTTCCAGGTAAAGCATGCAAAGAAAGAACTTCTTGAATTGTGACAATACAACTGGAGGTCGTACTGTATATATGTCATTGCTCGTATAGAGATTAACTCCATGTCTTCGCCTAAAAACGTCACCTTTAGGGCCTAAATGGAACATTACCCCAGTGCTGTGGGGGCCAGTTTGGGTGGGCCTGTGAAGCCTTGGGAATTCAGGAAGTCTGATTTCCCCCCATGTCACGATTGTACTTCCTGTGGGGCTGGCGGAATTGGCACTTGGTAGTTCAGCCCACCCATATGGTTTCTCCAATTAGATTGTTATGCAGGGAAGACAAGCTCAGTCCACTGTATTAACATGTAAAGGATCCTTGCACTTAGCATTCAAGATACACAAATGCTCCTTAAGAAAAAGCCAAGATGGGAACAATTTGTGTGCACCATGTCAAGGGTGCCTAAAGACATTTAGTATATTACCCTTACGTCCAAGAAAGGCCTGTACGTCTTGTGACTCTCCACTCAGCTTAACACAGCCCACCAGCCTTGTATTATTGCCTGCAAGTTTTAATTGTAATCCTGGGTGGGTAAGGTGGCATATAGATAGGGTTACCAATCTCATGGTGTGGCCTGGAGATCGACTGGAATTACAACTGATCTCAAGAGATCACTTCCCCTGGGGAAAATGGCTGCTTTGGAGGATGGACTGTATGGCCTTATACTCCTCTAAAGTCCCTCCCAAATCTCCAGGAATTTCCCAACCTGGAGTTGGCAATCCTATGGCTAGAGACCTGCTGGGTCACCAGACATGGCAGGCAGATTGTGGCTGGCTTGACAGGTCACACACTGGGCCAGCTTATTCTAAGCAAAGACCAAGATCCTCCTTGGTAGTCTTGTTTTCCAATTCAGGAGAAGGCAGGAGGGACAGGTACAACTCTCACTTGAGAACAATGCGATGTACTTCTTATAACACTTCTGGGTCACAATTTATGGCTTGTTGGCAAAGGCCATAGCGAATAATGGACCTTTCTTCCTATGAACAAAGAGCAGCATAGAGAACTTTTAAATGGCCAGTTGAACCTGGAAGCAAACATTTAGCTTGAGATAATAATGTAGGCCCAAATTTACCCAACTGAACTGGCACTGGAACCTAAACCTTTCCAAACTGAGCGACATTGCAAGACTGTTCAGAGAATTCTTGCTGCTCCTTTGAGGAAGGGGCAGGTTAAACTCCAAAGTATTGAAATGCACATAGCTTGAAAGGCAATGGGGAAGCCATTAGAGAACACTGCTGCTCCACCATGATTAGAAGTAGATATTATCAGTGAGTCTTGTATCAATTCCACAGCTTTTTCAGATGAGAACTTAACAAGAAAGCTTGGTGTTATTGGCTGAAGAGGGAAAGATGTGTGCGTATCCATTTGGATTGTGTTGTTCTTTTCAGTAGCTCATCTGTTTAAGTTTCAGGGGGTGGATGAGCAGGGGATTTGAAAGATGTACTTTCAATGACTAGACATTCCAGGAACTTGGTGGGAGGGAGAATCATGTTCCTGCTATTCTTGTAGCAAGGACCTTGAAGCAATGCTTTCCTGATGCTGGAGACGACACCCTGATCTCTCCAGACCTAGGTGCAATAGCAGTTTGAGCCTGGCCATGAATGCCTTGGGAACGTAAGCACTTTGATCGGTGGCCTTGTTTTTGTGGAGTTTTTCCTCTGATGAAGGAAAAAAAAAAGGGCTTCTCTTTTCATGTTGTTTTAAAACAAACCACCAGTCACTAAAATGAAAACCCTTCAACCTCCCCTTCAGCTTGTACTCCCCCCACCTAAGAAGCAGACACTCCACCCCAAACCTCTCCTTACGTAGCACACGGCTCAGTGTTAATAGGGCCCCAAGCTAACAGAGACTGTCCTTGGAAATGGGAAGGAAGTCTACCTCTATGTCGCACTTTGGCCTACAACAGTGATGGAACCAGAATGCTGACCCAGTCAAAGATTCTCTAAAACCTGATTTAGAAACTGAATTCACTGCCATTGACTTAATAGCAGCCTCCTAACTTGGAAGAAGCCAGCTGAGTGAGGTTTCTGCTAGGGTTTGTTCGCTAGATGGTGTCACTGCCCACCTCTCTTAGGGAGAGCCAATGTAGGCAAGGGCAGTAATCGCAATCACAAGTGGGCTCCTTCTGACAAACAATAATGGCTGAGGTGAGGATCCTCCCTCCTTTGCCATTTGGATAACATATATATATAGGTCTGTGATCTAGGGCAGAGCTGAAGGACTATTTAAAAAAAAGTTAGAAACTTAGTGTGGTAACAAAAGGAGTGACATTAAAAAGAGAGAAAAAAGGTTGGTGTCAGGCATTGCGATGTGCAGGTACCTATGGAGGGGTAATATAACGGGGGAATCTTGACAAGAGCACAATATTTTCTACATCAGGTTTTCTAGGATATTTGAGTCAGCCAATGCTGTTCATCAAGCTGCCATCCAATCCATCCTGTAATTCAACAGTTTGAAGTAAGCTTTGCTTTACAGGGCAGATTTGCTACCAGGTCTGAATACAAAGGGAAACCCCTTCGACAAATGGGAAGCAAGTTGGGATTTCAAAAATGCCCCCAAAGCCCCATTGAGCTCCAGAAGGGGAAGGGGCTTGCGATGGGCAGTGGAGAGAGAGAATGGTTACAAACCAACCAAGGAAAACAAAATACACCCAACACAGCAATTTTATACCTGCTCTCTGTAATGTTTTCTAAGTGGTGTGGTCTTTCTTAAATGTAAAACTCTTGTATTTTTTTCCTGTGGTTTATATTGCAGCAGGACTGACAGCTTGGGAGGGTTGCACACTCGATTTTGTAAAATATTCTTGCCAGTTTTTCCCCTCTTTCCAAAAGACAAGATGGATTTTCCAAAACAAAAAAAAAGTAATGTTTCTCCACTTGGCTTGTTAACTGCATGTACAGTATTTGGGCAGCAAGATAATTAAAATCAGTTTGAAAAAGTGTTTTGGCTCCAAGTTGATTGGCAAATGTTCCTGTCTCCATCAGTGGCATCTCATACAACACCACACACAGCCCTTCTCGGTCCCCACGCCTTAGGGGCAAGTCATTCTGAATGAAATGGTCTGCAGTTCCCTTTAACTCTCCTCCAGAAACCCTGGGGAAACTGCTTTGCCGCCTTCTCAAGAAAGAGAAGCAGTGGAGTGGAATCCACTCACTGTGGTTTGAGGGGAGGCTGCCTCGGCCCCAAATATTCCTCATTGACACTTTGCCTGCCTAGCTGGCCCTGCACCATGGAGCAGGCAGCAGTTCCTGCAAATGGAAATATGAGACACATTAGCTAAGAACGGAAACATTCATTTCGGACTTGACAACTGTATTTCCTTAGGTCCTGCTCTGTCTCAGCACTCTCATCAACCTGTTTAAACAGTGGAGGGTGTCCACAACCATTGCACAAAGTAGTCAAGTCACTGCAAGGTCACCACATCCACCCACCACAAAAAAAACCATCTCTAGATTTCTCACTATAGGATCGCCCAGTATGAAGACCCCTTCCCTCAAAGGTGTATCCTTGGGGCAAGCAGTTATAAGTTCACTGTCTGAAAAAAACAAACAAGTCCTGGGTATACGATTTTATCTCGTTCTTAGTACATCTGCCTGCCCCAAATTCCTTGTACTTCCCAACATGGAGCAGGCCCCATTCTCATGCGATGGCTCCGACCACAACCCCCCCCCCCCAAAAGTAGGCCATCCCTGCATCTCTCATCTTCTCCCGTTCAGGCAAACTCACTCCTTAACTGTCAGCAGCTGAGAGCAGTAGAGTGCCTATGCCTGTGCTAAGTGCCGTCAAGTCACTATGAATGAATGACCTCCAAAACGGCCTACCTGCTCAGGTCTTCCTTTTTTCCTAGCATTGTTGTCTTTTTCAGTGACTCTTGTCTTCTTATAATGTGACCAAAGAACATTAGCCTCAGTTGAGTCATTTTAACTTCTAGGGAGAGTTCAGGCTTGATTTGGTCTAGGCAGGTAGGTGTATGCAGTGTGGCTTACACATCTGCAGGCTATCTTAGATAACTCATTTGGTGTAAACACCTGACTGACAAGATGATGGAAAAGACACCCCAGAATTCAGTGCCTGGAGAAACACGATCAATGTTTCACTGCAATAGTTTTATTAAGGAATTTATATATACACAAGGTAGACAGAAGATGCCTGTGGTTTTTTTTTTGTTTATGCTGACAAAAGTCTTTCAAAGATGCAGGTTGGATTCGCCCCCTCCCCTAAGTGACACCGGAGCGGACACCAAGGGAAGAAAGCTAGACCACCCCCCAGCCCTCAGTCAGTCATGGAAAGCTGGCAAATTATTTGCAGGTGTACGTGAGATTTTTTTTGGGGGGGGGGAGGGTAACACAGGACAAAAAAAATGCAAACGGGAAGCGTAAGACAACATTTGTTGCGAGGCCTTGCCCCTTGATTCTTTGGGTCATCAGAGAAACCCAGAGGGGTGATAGGCGGTGTGTGTGTGTGTGTTTAGGAGAGGGGGGTGCCAAGAGAAGATAACAGGAGTTGTTTAAATATATCACCACCACAGGGTAGATAAGAAGCAGCCGGCGCTTTTTGAAAGAGTGCAAATACTGCTTGCTCGCACAGGTCCAGAAGAGGATCTGTGGTGCTCAAGGGCCTTGTGGAAGTCCCGCTAGCTCCAGGGAAGAGAGAAGACTCAGGCTCATGGAAGGCAGAACTAGTTTTGGAGAATTCCACATGGAGGAAAAAAAAATGGATGGAATGTGCCAGATAAGAGCGGGGTAGAAGAAATAGGATTTAGGGATGGGGGGAGAGAAGAGAAAATAAATCCACAAGACAGACATTTGCTGTTCAGTTCTTGTAGGGGAGACTCTGGGGGTTGGAGTCCCCCCACTCAGCTGTGGGCAGCTCTCCTTCTGGCCTGATCAGCTGGGCGCTGCTGAATCCCCAAGCAAGTCAACCCCTCCCCCTCTTATAAACCTTCCCTCCAAGAAGCACACATGGGCTTAAATCCTCTTGGATGTGGGGCAGGAGAGGGGCAAAGTGGGGTCTCTGCTACACAGGAGAAAGCTCTGGCAGAGACCGTCAAAAAGGAAAAGGAAAACTTTTAAAAATAATCCAGAGGAGGGCATTTTTAATGATGGAACAACCCCCCCGAAGCAAAAAAAAGAAAGGAGAGAGAGGAACAGTTCAAATCCAGGTGCATTATTTCCACACTTGGGAGCTGAGGGTTTGGTTGGCTCCTTGGGCCCCTCCGCGGCCCAGCGACTGTCCATATCCCATCACCCCATTCGTGCCATAGAAGTTCATCCCGGCCATCTGCTGAGTCACCTAATAGGAGAGAACCAAGAAATGGGGTCAGGCGGCAGTGCTCCACACCCACATAAGCATTCTAAAGAGGCAGACATCAGACGTTTTCAATCTCCTCCCCCCTCAGTGGGAAACAGCATCAACTTGCACGTATCGTTTGGGCAGGATTTGCTACCGGTACTACTAAACAGAATGCTCTCTCTGATCTGCAGCTAGAAGTGCACTTTCATCAGATGACACACCTATGCTGGGATGCATCCCGCAGCAGGGTGGCTCTTGTGTACTTTCCCTGTCACCACAAGACAAGCTGCTTCACACATACACATACACCAGACTTTTGTCCCAGCAGCATATGAACAGAGCCAAGTCAGCTCAGTGTTGGGAAGCAGTGACCTGGCAAAGCTCATACAGGCTGATTTCAGAACTTATTTAGCACAGAGGACAGGAAGACAGGCACATATTTTAGTACATACTCAGCCCTTAAAACTGTTCATCCTACCCCACAAGTTAGCCGCCCCCCCCAGCACAGTCCTTGCAATGTCAATTCTTCCCTAAAAAGTTTCCCACAATTAAAAGCAATGACAAACACAGCCAAACACTATTCATACCTCAAAATAGAGATTAACTGGCAGGAACTGGCAGGCCTTAACTAATTATCAATTGTTTTGGTAATCTATTTACACTACTCTGAAGGATACATGGTGGAAAAGGAACCTAGATTACAACATACTCCCACTGATTAGTCGACTGAACTGCTAAAACCTTGTGAGATGGGTACCTAGTTCTATGGTGGTAAACTTGGAATCTCTGTAATCCCAATTACAATAACCTAATGCAGTCCTTTGGAATGGGGGTGAGTTAGACATCTAAAACTAAGACTTCACATTATCTGTAGAAACAAAGAGCCTTCCCCCAAGAGAGTCACCAGAAAAGCTCATAACATGGTCAAGTGCATTTTAAAGTGTTCTTGGGTTGCAGAGGGGAAGTAATGCCACCCCACCCCCAATCCAGGTACCTCTCACCTGAGCGATATTCCACTGTAGCTGCTGGGCTGGTTGCACACCATACACTGGTGGTGGGAGAGGTGCCATGCCGCCTACGTACCCAGGTTGCTGTGTCGCCATCATTCCATTGGGGACCCCAATGATGGCTGTCTGCATGCTGCCGACATAGCCCGCCGGGATCGCCATGGACGTCACCATTCCAGCAGCTCCTGGCTGTGATATCATCCCAACTGGCGGTGCCATCATGCCCCCCATCATGTTGCTGGGTGCTGCCATGCCTGGGAAACTGGGGTATGCTGTAGGGTACCCCATTTGGGCTGGGGCAATGAACACAGCTCCTGGGGAGGACAGGAAGGGCATTAGGGCTGAAGTATAGAAGAAGTCGTGTTTCACTTCCTTTGATTTCATCCTCATTTTTGTTTTAACCCAAGGGCTCCCAAAATCTGGCTACACAAAAGCCAGTTCTCAAAGTATTTGAACCACACTGAATACAACTATGAAGCACATTTTGGGAACTGAAGGGAGATAGTTACAGAGGAGGCAGTTTGAAGATAGATGGTCTCTTTGTCTACTCAACAGGGATTTTGTACTCTCCTGACCTTCTACCCAGAAAGTGGCTTTGAAAGAGTGGAAGGAAGGGAGGTAGCTGCGGGATGGCAAGTGGGGAGAGAAAGACCAGAGGTGCCCCAACAACCACCACCTGGGAAATGTCACTGGTCTTCCCTTAGTTGCACAAACAGGTTTATAAACAGCACAAAGTCTGCTCTCTGTTGGGTTCTAGAAGCAATTCCCACCTTGGTGAGTGCCCCCAGCACAGTAAATCATGGCTAAACTGCACAGCCGCTGCAATCTAAGGCACCTTATCCAAGCCTCCCCAATTGACAGCCGTAGCCCTGGAACCTGGTCAAAATGTGCAGATTGATTACTAGCTCGTCCTCCTGCAAGATGGGAGGCAGCAAGAGAATCCAGCAAGATTTCCATGGTCAGTAACGACAGCCATAGGATAGTGGTCAGAGTGTCAGACTAGGACCTGGGAGCCTCAGGCTTGAATCCCCGCTCTGCCGTGGAAGCTCACTGGGCGACCCGTGGGCCAGCCACACGCCCTCAGCCTAACCTACCTCACAGGGTTGTTTGGGTCCTCACTGGGGAGAAAAGTGGTGTAGAAATCAAGTAAATAAATAGTAAAAACATCTTCACATCAATCTACATGGTTGGGCTGTACAAGTCCTCTCCCACCACAGTCTGGTTACAAATTTCTTTTGTGCAGTGAGCCAACTGCAGACCCACTCCACACACTCCTTCCCAGGAATCCTTGCTTGCAAGTTTGGAGAAGAGGTTGGTGTCAGGGAAAGGAATGGAAAGAGGGAAACGTTAGCTGTTGCCTGGGCACTGGACTGTCTTTCCCTGCTCTGGGTACCTTGTGCGGGCATCGGTGGGGTCTGGGAGCTGTATAAGGAGAGGATGGAGTCCTTTGAGAGCTGCTTCTTCCCAGCTTCTTCTCCTTTGCTCCCAGGATCAGGGAAAAGGTTTAAGTTTTCAGGAACGGATCCCGCACAGCCAGCCGTGGGCATAGAGCCTACCACCTAATGAGAGCAAACAAACATTCCATTTCCAGGCCCAGACGGGAGACGGACAGAGAGCATCACAGCATTCCTTGGAACGTATTCTCCACGCCTCTTTTACCACTCTTACAGCCACCTTGTAAGTAGGCCAGTCATCAAGGGCAGCCTGCTGACAAGAAGCCAAGGCTAAGAGTCAGCTTTCTGAAGGTCACTGGCATGCCTTGCAGCTGAGCTGGGATTTGAACCAGGGAAGTACAGCTCGGGCCCATCATGTGGTGTTCCTATACCCTCCTTACCTCAGCCACTGCTACACATTCAAGTCCCGCCGTAGGAACTGCAACATGACATGTGCTTGCAGACAGCTTTCTGCAAACCGCTAGCCTAAAGCTGCAGCACTGTGACATTTGCCACCTTTCCCCCTTTATACAACACTACCACCCTCTGCCTGTGGGGGGAGGCATGCAGTGTGCACGGGGAGAGCAGTGGACAGTTGTGAGCGGGATGAAAATCCAACCCTTGGTGACTCCCTCCAACGTGCTATTCAGCCTCTGCCCCCTAACTGGTGAGGATGGCTCTGCTCACAGGGAGCAGCACGAGGAGTGAAGGACAGGAGGGCGCAGTACTATTTTGCCTTGGCCTTCGTGGTATGCTGCCCAAGGGAACCACCCTGACAGCTGCTGACTTATCTCCACCTGATGGGCAGCTGAATGCAAAAGCAACTTCATGGACAAGCACGGAGTGCAAGATCTGAGTCATTAAGTCAAAAGCAGCCGCATGGAAGCCAGGCTCTGATTGCTGAGAATTCTGGAGAATCAAGGGAAGAGAGCTGGGAGGGACTGTCTGGAAGCCTTTTCCCCTCTCTTACCAGTTAGATGTCCATTGGAATGGGGGGGGGGGGCAAAAAAGAAGCAGGGCAGCCAGCTGCTAAGGAAGGGAGACAGGAGGTGGGAAGAGGCTTTACAATCCCCTCCAAGCTTTCTCTGCTTATCTGGGAGCTGCTTCGACCCTCAGAGCCTGGGTACTACTTTTCACATGAGTCTGACTTGGGGGTCAGGAGTTCTCCTGGACCGTACATGAGACATTGTGCTGTACTGGTGAGGGTTTCAGACTAGAAGCTGGGAAAGCTGGGTATGAATCCTCCACTCCACCATGGGGGCTCAGTGGGTGGCCTTGGGCCAGACCCTCTCTCCCAGCCCAACATACTTCACAGGATTGTTATGAGGATAAACCAGAGGAGAAGGAATAAGGGAGTGCTTTGGCTCCCTGGTGGGGAGAAAAGAGGGATCTGAATCAATATATAGTGCTGAACCATTCATGTGTCACCACTGGGCCATTCACACAGGACAGCAACCACGAATGTCTGAACATATGAAAAAACCAGCCCTTGCTTCAAATTCCGTCCTGTCGACATTAGCGAGGCTTGGCCATCCAGCAAATGTCTTTAGAAGTGGCGTGCCGACTCTCAGCACTGACTCCCCCCCCCCCCATGACTGCAGTGCTGCCTCGCCTGCTGTCTTCTCACCTTCCTTTCTGAGCCCATGGAACTGAAGAGGTCCAAGTCCTTCTCCAGACAACTTGCAGATCTGCCGTTGGGAAGGGTAGCCGAAACAGGAACATCTGGGAGTGGAGAGGGAGGTGTTAGAAGAGTGGCTGCAAAGTGAGGCAGCTGACTGAATCAGAGGTTCCAGCCCAGGAGGCACAGCAGCCCACAGCTTGTAAGCAGAGAAATCCTCAGTTTGGTGTAGTGGTTAAGTGCGCGGACTCTAATCTGGGAGAACCCGGTTTGATTCCCCGCTCCTCCACTTGCACCTGGCTGGATGGCCTTGGGCAAGCCGTAGTTCTGATAAGAGCTGTTCTTGAAAAAGAGCAGTTTCTGTCAAGAGCCCTCTCAGCCCCACCCACCTCACAGGGTGTCTGTTGTGGGGAGGGGAAGGGAAAGGAGTTTGTAAGCCGCTCTGAGACACCTTTGGGTAGTGAAGGGCGGGGTATAAATCCAATCTCTTCTCTTCTTCTTCTTCTCAGTCAACCCACTGCTCCCCCATCCCTGTCCTGGGGCAGCTCACAAGTGTTGTGGCCTCTGGAAATTAAGACTTGCATGAGATATTCTGCTCTGGTCTCTTTCTCTACCAAGGGGCTAGAGAGAGAAGCCCTGCTGCCCAGCAAATACTCAGCTACCCCTTTTGGCTTCCAGTACATCAGATGCAATGCTCACACAACTTTAAAGCACACCTGCACAGCCGTTAAGAGTTGAAAGGTTGCTTTTTGGGAAGGGGGAAAGGAGAGGGACTTGAAAGTGATGATTTTTTTTTTTTTTTGCTTTCAGTGCTATGTTTGGTGCAAGGCTGCTGCAAGAGGGAAGATTGCCAGAAACATTCTTAAGGCACCATTCAAGAGTTCCAAGGTCAAACCCTTCTCCGTTGGTGGTGGTGGGGAGTCTTCAGCCTCAGCCAGCTATACTAGCAGTGGTTGGGGGGGCTCCTTGAACCCGAGCCTTTAGCCTGCCCTACACTGATCCCTGCCCTAACCCTTCCCAATCTGCTCTGTGCACTAGGTGGGCCCTGGGACACCTTCTGCCTCTAAGCTTATGGGATGTTTAAACTCAGCTTTGCTTCAGAGGCAAGAGAGGACTGCCCTGCGCTTGCCCAATCCTGCAGTAGCATGCTCTGCTGCAGAGCTGAGGTTGCAGCTGCAGCTCAGAGAGGAGCAGATCCAGGTAATTTCTGCTGCAGAGCAGAGGCAGGGACCCCCTCCCCCGCCTGCTTCCCCTCTCCAAAAGGATCCACCCCAGCAGCTCCCTCTAGGGAATCAGTTCACTTGCAAGGGCAAGCAAAGTGCTATGAATTTGACAAGGATATTGCAAAGAAGCATCTTTCACAGCTGCTTAAGAATCTGATGCAAAAAAAACCCTCCAAAAGAATCTGACGCAGGACGCTGAGTGTCTGCGGCCGAGACCACAGAGCGAGATTCATGCAAGGCTTGGAGGTTCTGGTTTTCAAGAGAACGCTGATCTTCTTTCAAGAGAAGAGCGGCAAAGCTGGGATATGTGCCCCAAGAGCAGAGACCCGTGTGAAGACAGAAGAATAAAATATGTTACAACTCTATCCCTCGAGGGGATACTCACAAAAAGTGGCCACATAGGATACTCCTTGCATGAAGGAGCTGTGCCACCTCCAGCCAAGGCACCTCTAGTCCACTGGCTGGGTTTTGCCCGCTCTGACTGTCAGCAGCTCTTTAGGACTCAAGCAGAGGAAGGTATATCCTTTTGGCCTCTGAGAGCATGTGCCCTCAGGCAGGACAGAGACTCAACATGATGCTGGGATTAGAGTGTCCAGCTGGGCCAGTGGAAAGCAAGGTTCAGATCCCCACTATTCTATGGAAGCTTGGTGACCTTGAACCAGTCACGTTCTCTCAGCCCATCCTACCTTGCAGCATTGTTGGGAAAACAAAAACAAGGGAGGGAGAAACGAGTATGTCATTCCAAGCTTTGCACAGGAAGGGGAAGGACAAAAAGCTTAACAAGACTGGAAGAGGTCCCTGTTCCTAATGGCTACTGGAAGGCGAGGGGTTTTACTTCTATACTGTTCATAGAATTGGAAGGGACCTCCAGGGTCATCTAGTCCAACCCCCTGCACAATGCAGAAAATTCACAAATACCTCCCCACAGTGACTGCTCTTCCACGCCCAGAAGATGACAAAAAACCCTCCAGGATTGCTTCCTGACCCCAGAGTGGCAATCAGCATTTCCCTGGGTGTGTAAAAAAGGGCCACAAGAACTAAGCACTGAGGCAACCCATCCTGCCCTCCCTCTCATGATCTGCCTAAGTTCACAGAATCCGCTTTTCTGTCAGGTGGCCATCTAGCCTCTGTTTGAACACCTCCAAAGGAGGAGAGCCCACCACCTCCCCAGGAAGCCTGTTCCACTGAGGAACCACTCTGTCAGGAAGTTCTTCCTACTGTTTAGCCGAAAACTCTTCTTCTTTTTTTAAATAAATCTTTTTATTAATTTTCTATAATAAACAAAAATTTAAAAACTTTGCACACAAAATATCTTGTGGAGTCATAGATAAGATTATCGTATATGAACATAATGATACATAAAAACAAGTTAACATTTACAGTAGGCAGTTTAACAAGTGTTTCAATTTCAGCTATATTGTTAGTAACGAGACCAAAGTAGATAAACATTTCTCAAATTCATTCAGAATCAGTTTGCACCTTATCTCTACCAGGCAGTGTGATTTCTGTGTTGTGATGACAGTTAATGGTGCGAAAACTCTTCTGATTTAATTTCAACCCATTGATTCTGGGTCCAGCCTTCTGTCAGTTCATACACTATATGCAGTTCCTATGTATCTACAAAAATTGTGCCAGACTTCCGGATTTGGCACGTTGATGGCGGGTGCGCTCCTCTGAAGCTCCGGAGAGAGCGGCCTGTGACCCGGCGGCAGAGAGGGGGTCTGGCTGGTTCTGGACTCCCCCCGGAGCCCTTGTAGGGGGCTCTCAGCTTGGGGCATTGGGGGTGCCTCTCCCAAGCCCAAGACCAAAGGATCAAGGTTCCCCCCTGCCCTTATAGGTCCCTGCTGCCGCAGTACCATTCTGAGCATGAGATGAGCATACCGGACCAGCGAGCAACCGACCCGGTGAAAACAAAAAGACTTTTTCTTACCTGATGAAGCTGAGCATGAGTAAGATGCCAGCCCGGGTGCACCCAAGAAAAAGCGGAGGGAGGGGGAAGCTACCCACCCCTTGAAAATGGCAAAGATTTAAAAAGCATTAGAGGGGGCAGAAAGTGGCGGCGTTTGAGCGGACGGCTGATTTTAATCACTACAATGCCAGACTGTTAAGGCGTTAGAGTTAATAAACTTCTAAAGACTTAAGTGAACTTTTATAAAACATAGACAATGTCTTATCAGGCTGAAAAGATGGAAGCGAAAGCAAAGCTTCAACAAGGAACTGCCAGCTCAACACGTCCGGTTTTTAAACCGGAAGTGAATTTTGACTTTGCAGGCATGCTGGATACTGCATTGTGACCTCTGGTGGCTCAGATGACTAACATCAGCAAGATTGAGTTTACAAAAACAGCTAAAAGAATCCAATAAAAGAACAGAAGAAGTTGAAAACAAGACTAAAGCAATTGATCAAAGACTGGAAGTTGTAAAAAAAGATCTTCAGATAAAACTCAACTTTTGCAGCTACAAATGGAAAAATTTTCATATGTGTTGAGATTTCAAGGTGTACCAGAAATTCTTAGTGAAGCGCTTGCATCAGTAACAGGCATTAAGGCGGAAGTATCACAAAGCAAAATGGATATGAACTATCGGACATACTCAGAATTTATTAAGAAAAAACCGCTGCCTGGTGAAATATACGTCAGATTCTCTAAGAGATCTATAAGAGATGTAATAGTGAAAGCAACATCTGGGATTACACTGAAAATCAAAGAAGAAGACATCAGAATACTAAAAGACATTCCATTTGAGATAAGGAAGAAAACAATACAAGAATTTAATCACCTATTTACGGGAAAATTCCACTACCTACTAATGGACACTACCTGAAGACTTGATGTTCAATTACAAAGGCAAAAAAGAAAAGATTGACTCTTTTACCGAAGCGAAGCAGTTTTTGAAAAGACATCAGGAACCCAAAAAGGATACAAAGAACACAGAGGAAGAAGAAGGAGAACTGGACAGTTTGCATGGCTTGGAAAGCCACGAAACATTTGCAGATGGCAGCTCAGAAGTAGAATCTGAATCAGAATTGGGAGCGGCAGCACCCAAACCACCCCGAGACGATAAAAGCAAGAAGAGAGGAGGGAAAGGCAGAAAATAGCTTAAACTTTAAAAGAAATGTTTATATTACATTACATAGCCTTGCATTGTTAATAGTTTTAATTTTTTGCATATCGAAATAACAGAATAGAATTTTTATTCTTAACTTAAATAAGAAAAAAGTACTATATATGGTCATTGTATAGCTGTAATTTTAGTTAGTGTGTAGTTTTGAAGGATTTATGTAGAAAATAAAAAAAAATTGTGCCAGGATTCCCCCCCCCCCCGGGGCACTGATCTAGCATGCACAGCTTCAGTGGGAGATCATCTGCCTGGCACACAGAAAATCCCAGGCTCAATCCCTGGCATCTCCAGTCAAAAAGATCAGATGGTAGGTGATGTGAACCCCCCCCCCCACCAGAGGCCCTGGAGAGCCGCTGCCAGTCATAACACTAATGGTCTGAATCAGGGTAAGGCAGCTTCATGTGTCTGCAGGATAACGTGAGATAATTGCTGGGTGGGGTGTGTGCAAAGCCTTTCTGAATGCCCCAGGCGATTTACCACTGACTGTACTGAGCTGGTGGAACCACAGTCCTAGAGAGGCAGAAAGTAGTACAGGGCTCAAGATCTTTCTTTCTACAAATACTACTTGTCACAGGTTATCATACTCTCAACAAGAGAATGGATTCAGAGAGTCTGGATAGTGCCAGGAGCACAAACATACAAAGAAAGATCCTCCTCCGCAGTTCTCTACAGGGTTTCAGTTTGCTATCAGGCCCCTATGCAGGCATTTTTCTTTCAAGGAAGGGATTACCCACCCAAGGTTTCCTTCCAACCTCAGCCATGACCCATTCCTGTCCCAGCGATGAAGAACTCCAGAACCTTGATCACAGAACTAGGTCAGTTTAGAGCACCAACACCAGGGGTCGTTTAGTAGAAAAAGAGCTAGGGGAACTCATTAGCATAAGGCCACACCCCCTGACATCACCGGAAGTGTGTCATAAGGCCACACACCCCACCCCCAACGGTCCCGGCCGCCGCTGCCGGCCTTTGGCAGGCAGGGGTGGGGAGAGGCAGGGAGGAAGCAACTTACCCTCCCTCTTCTCCTGCCTCCTCCTGGCTGAATGAGGGCCGGAAGCGGGGCGGCCGGAAGCAGGGGGCGGGGCTTCGTCATGTGCCCCGCCCCCGTACCTCACCCAGGGAAACTGCGATCCCCCCGAAATGACCTCTGACCAACACCAAAAAGGTATCCTACTGGTACACAGCGGTAACAGCGTCAAAGTAAACATGCAGTTTAGAAAGAAAATCAAAAAGGAGGCATAATTCTGACCACTTATTTATTCTGGCTCTGCACTTTTGGAACTGCTGAGGCAGTGTTGGGTATTAGAAAGTTACTTGACTACAATTTGACACTCTCACATCTGGATACAATGCACAACTTTGCCCCAAGACTTTTACATCAGTTCCGCCTCCTCTCCCAGGAGGACACCCCCCCCCCCCGTTTTTCTTAAGAAAGGTTTTCTTTTGGAGGTGAAAGTTTAGATCAAGACTTTGGGCAATCCAGCCTGGAGGTTGGGCCTTAGAATTACTTGCAGATTTTGGGACTGGCTGAATGGGAAGTGATGCTTGAAGCCTATTCTCTATGGTTTTCTGGGACTTAAAGGTGAACAAAAGCAAAAGACGGGTGACAAAGGATGGAGATGGTCCCTCAATGGCTCCCACTCAGCTGGCTGCTTCCCAGTTTCTAAAGAAAAGGCTTGTTCAATAAGAAAATGAACCCAACATGCCCCCCCCCCCCGAACCTCTGCCGCTTGCTGGTGTGCGCTTGCCATGAGAGCACTCTGGCTAGTCTTGAGGCTTCCCACATCCAACCCCTCCTCAGTCATTATACACACAACAACAGAAGCCCTGGAGAGGTCCCTGTCCCATGGAAGCTGAAACCCACATGCCGCAAACAAAGGCAGGGGACGATGGGGTGAGGGAAGAGCAACAGAGGGCAGAATTTAGTGTTAAATACATTTAACACATTTCTGCCCTTGGCTGTTTACAGTCCCCAAGGCTACCACTGTGTGACAAGAGACAACAGAACAGCCGCTTCACTCAGTGAAGGCTTTTCTTCTCCACCCCCCACCCCGCCTCACTGAATGCCTCGTTTAACACACAGAGTCCCGTCCACGCTTAAGTTACACCATTGACCCAATTTTAACTAATTAAAGTATTCCATGGGGTGTTTTTCTCTGTAGTTTTGGTCTCATGTACATCCTGGTACACCGGTGCATGGCTGCTTGCGTGACAAAATACAACTGGCTTCCTGCTGAAAGGGGAACTGAGAGTCTCTTGCCACCTTCCACATGAATGAAATATTTCATGCAAGTGGCACACAGCATCCAAAAGCTGACTTATAAGAGGTTGGACTCTGCATTTTGCTCCACTAACTCTTGGTTTACACCCAACATGGCCTCCCATTGAGGTTACCTGCAGAAAACCAGCAGCCTGAACAAACTCATTTTGTACCATACTCTGGGAGCCTCTTTAGCCACAACTGAAACTTTAAACACTCGTGGGATCACGTCCACACTGAGAATGGAAGAACCGGTATGGCATAAGGGCTAACTGGTTGGACTAGGATCTGGGAGGAAACCCAAGTTCAAATCCCAGCTCTGAAGTGAAAGCTGGCTGAGAGACCTTGGGCCAGTCACCTACTCTCAGCCTGAACTACCTCACAGGGTTGTTATGAAAATAAAATGGGATGATAAAATGGGATGGTAAAATGGGATAAAATGATGTATGCCATTTTGTGTCCCCGCTGGGGAGAAAAGTGGAGTATAAATGATTAAATAAAATTGCTATGCAGAGCCACCAGGCATTACGTAGATTGGGGTAGACAACCTTTTTGGTGACCCAAGCACTGAAAAAACTGAAGTGTCTATCTGTGAAGATGTTACTCTGCTGGCAAACAAAATGGGTTTTTTTTGGGGGGGAGGACAGAGGATTCCACTAGGCCAGACACACTTGGAGCAAGCTATGTCCCAGCATCTCAGGGCTTTGCTGGCATCTGTGCATGTCTAGGAGGCAATGACAGACATCAGCCATGCCTTCCCCTGCACTGTTGGCCCCAGCTGCTCGGGTGGAGATCTGGCCCCAGCTGCCCAGTGAAACAGTCTGGTGTGCTGCTGTCAGCATGCTTGACAGAGGTACCCTCTCTGCTGTAGATTATTCTGAGGCATGTTCTAGAACAGTCTCCAGTCCTCCCAGACCCGGAACCCCCTACCCTCAGGCCCCGGTGCCTTGTAAAACAAGTGATGCCACACAACTTCTGGAGTCACATGCCAGGGGTTATGACTTTGCAGGGGCAAGGTTACGATGTCAGAGAGCTGAGGACAGGAAACACAAGTTGAGCACCAGAAGCAGACCATAAGGTGGAACAAGCTGAGGGTCAGAGCCATTGAGAAATCCTTCTTCGGCACTGAGTGATCTTGCTGCTCTGCTGTCCTCCTGGAGAGACAAGATGGCTGGCACCCTTACCATCTACAACAGGCCCGCCAAAAAAGGCAGAAAAGGAAACGGCAGCCCCATATGGGCTCATGATTCAGGAGGTCAGACTCTGCAATCCACTCACTGGTTCCAAAGCCCCCTGTTCTAGAGGCTGCACTTGACAGTTCTCACAGATGCAACATCCAGGACCATGCCCTGCACCACACCAGAGACTCCCCAACATATACTGCTCCTGGGGAAGACTGACAGCGTCATTTGGGGAAGCATTACCCAAATCCTTGTTGAGGGACCCACAATAAGCTTCCAGGGAACCCAAAGGCTCCCTTGAAGACAGTCTGAGAATTGCAGACCTCAATTTAACAGCTGCTGGCTGACTTGGTGAAGAGATGCCACGGGCTTCCCAACGGTCTGTCTGTTCTTCTTTGCATTCCTATAGGTCGAGTAAATACAGAACTAGGTTTCCCCTCCCTCAAATATACCGGGGGGGGGGGGGGAGAAGTCATCTTACATTTACATACAAGTTACAGTTATATCCAGTAATAAAAAATATTGGTGTAACATTCTTAAGGGTGGCCATCTTACATTCCAGGTTGTCTTCCTTTTGAGTAAATACAGTACCTTCCTCTCAATTCTGGACAGATGCATCCTCCTATACTTTAATATTTATTGTGCAGCCAGAGTGCCTGACACAGTGTACGGAACTCCACTCCCTTCTTCCTTTCAAAAACATCTTGGACTAAACAAAATGCTCTTACCAAGTCCCAGTAAGTCCATGACAGGCTCAGAAGATTTGGAAGGACTTCTCCTGGCCTGATTGTCATCCTTCTTCTGGGGCTGAGCCAAAAGAAATAAACATGAGAGTTGGAAGAACATTTCCTGCCTACTTTGATGATCACTGAAAGCAGCCAAGTTCAGATCTTAGGGGATTTTTCAAGACACCTCTGTGTTCACACAAAAGATTCTGGGGCACTTTCCTAGGATGCCATGCAGGTCCTTGGGCACAGCTAAATATTACATATGCCCTATTTACAAATTACACTGAACATATATGCAATCCACACACAGTGTGTACACTTAATGCATCTTTATATGCTCACTGAGTAAATCTCACAGTAAGTGCAATGCATGTACAGCTGAACTGGTGACTGAAACTAGGGATGGGCGAACTGGCTCACGGGCCAAAATTTGGAATGAACATGAGGTGGTTCGGAGCCCCTGAACCAATGTTCAGGGAAGGTGCATTCCCTGAACATTTACCAGACTTTTGTCCAGTTCGGGGCCATTTAAACTTAACAGCTGAGCACACAGGGTTCCAAGTGGGGTGTGTGTGTGAAACCGACCGGTGAAATGGCTCACAGCCATTTCAACCTAACGGCAGCCAGCTCCAGCACTTCCAGCTTACCACGTGCAACATCGCCAAGCAGTTCCTCTGTGCTAATCACAAGGGACACTCAGCATTCCCACATTTGGTCCACCATCTTGACAAGGTGGCCTCTATTAGAAATTCAGGACAAGCTATGAGCCACAACCAAGAAGGGTCTCCTTACCATTTTCACCTTCTCAAAGATGATCGGCTCCAGTTTTCTTTCCAAGGCTGCTTCCATTTTCCATTTGTCATCCTTTTCTTTCTGTACACACAATCAAACTTAGCGGTGAGAGGGCGAGGAAACTAGCTGGACGTCACATTTGCCTCCGGCCAGTGGTTTTCTGAGCTGGTGGAAAACGTCCTGTAGCAAGCGCACACAGGAGTGGACCCAGTTGGCTTGTAGATGGAAGCCATTCCCTTTCCCTCCCATAAGAACCAAGCAACCCGGGCCCTCACAAGAGATATCTGCCTAGAGCACAGATGCCTTAGCTGCCCCCAAACTCTAGCCTGTGAATGGTTTTGTTGCTGTCTCTTATTGAATTAAATTAGTGCAAACTAAAGAATGAAAACGGCAGCCTGATAGCCCAGCCTAGCCTGATCTTTATACTTTACCCTTTATGGTCTGGGGCCTGCCTACCTGCGGGACCGCCTTTCCCCGTATGTCCCCCCGAGAGCACTGAGATCTGAGTCCCAGGATCGATTAGTCCCCCCTGACCCTAGGGACGCCAAATTAACATCTACTAGATCTAGGGCGTTCTCTCTGGTAGCACCAACACTATGGAACCAGCTCCCCCAGGAGATCCGCGCCCTCCGGGATCTCAGTCAGTTCCGGAGAGCGGTGAAGATGGAGTTGTTCCGCCAAGCATTCAACAACTTAGATTGAGTATGTCAGCACTTATAGTCGCCATCTTGTGTATGTTATAATGTGTATTTTATAAAGTGGGTAAACCGTGATTTTAATGTACTGTATGCTGTTTTAGAGGTATTGTTTTATTATTTTACTGTTGTAAGCCGCCCTGAGCCGCTTCGGCGGGAGGGCGGGATAAAAATCAAATAAATAAATAAATAAATGAATTGATCTTAGCCAAAAGGCTGAGAAGTGATCCTAGCCTGATCTCTCATAAAAGCTTGGAAGCTAAGCAGAGTTGGCCATGGTTAGTACTTGGATGGGAGACCACCAAGGAAACTGGGGTTGCTATGCAGAGGCAGGCAATGGCCAGACACCTCTGTTTGTCCCTGGTTAGTACTTGGATGGGAGACCACCAAGGAATGCCAGAGTTACTAGACAGAGTGAGGCAATGGCAAACCACTTCTGTTGGTCTCCCACCTTAAAAACTGTAGGGGGTCGGCCATAAGATAGCTGCGACTTCACAGCACTTTCCTCCACCACCAAAGAATTAAAACTTGAGGGGTGGGGTGATGGCTGTAGTGTCACTCAACAGCAAAACATATTTTTTGCATGAATAAAGGCCAGTCCCCGGAAGGATCTCAGCTAACCAGTAGGGGGGAAAATAAACTTCTTCCTATGGCAACAGCTGTCCAAGACTCATCAGAGCAGAAAAACACCAGACTAGATAGATGAAAAGTCTGCCTCTGGATTTAAGAAACTGCCTCATGCATTTATTAAGGGGGGGGGGGGGAATTTTGAAACATTGAAGACTAACCCGTAACACATTGATGTCAAGACTTCGGTCCATGTATTTCTTCTTTTCGTACTTGTCTCTGATGAAGCCCTCAACTGCTCTGTGTGGAAGTTGGTTAAGGACAAACAAGGAAAGGGAACATGGTACAACAAGCGCATAATGTTGTCAGGCAATGGCCAACCACGAGAAAGCAACAATACCTGAATGATAAGGCTCCCACTTCAGGCTGAAATGCGGCCTTTGCTGCTGTTGCCATTGTTTGCAAGCATATGTTGATACCAGAAGAGGCAAAGCCCAAAGTTAGCCACAACTAAATGGGTGCACTGCTTGAATGCATGCTGCATTGCGTATGCAACTCTTACCCCTTGCCTTATTGTGGTTTGGGAGTCCGGGCAGGTGAACAAGATGGCAGGCGAACAAGATGGCAGGCATCATGCTATGTTCCTGCTGGAACAGGAATGCTACAAGCTTACTCCTGCTCAGTGAGGCAGCACTGGTCAGAATAGGACCCCATAGGGCTCCATAGTACTGCCATCGACTGCAGCAGTTTTCTTTATTCTGCAACAGTTCAGAAGAGGCTTTTAGTGCAGTGAGTTCTGAAAGGAAGAAAGGGAAAGCAGCTATCCTAGACACAGCATGGAGAAGGAAGGACTACATGGAGAAGGGTGAACTACCAGGACTGGCTGTACTGAGGGGACGTGTGGCGGGGGGGGGGGGGGGGGGGAAGGGCCCACACAATAAAGTGAAGACATAAAAGGCAACAGCCTGGTCCTGTGGCATGTTTAGTCAAAAGCAAATTCCCCCGAGGCCAATGGGATTGACTTGGAAGAGTGTGCAGGATTCCACTGCAGAGAGGACCAAGGCATTCTCATAGCAATGGAGACAATCTATGACCACTCCAGAAGTTTCATCATTTGTTCTACCCATGCACAATTTCAGATCTACGAAAGAGAACCCAGAAGCATTCCTCCTCCCCCCCACCCCGGGGTTACAATACATTGTGTTTTTCGTACTGTAAACTACTTTGGATCTCCACTGGGGAGAAAAACGGCATATAAATGCTTAAATGAATGAATAAGTTAAGTTGTCTGGAAGGTGCCAAATGACAGATAGAGCCCATCAAATGAAAACCTGCTGGACAACAGCTGCACATTTACAATGTGAAGCATTCTGTTCTGGTGCAGCTCTGAGGACTCATGCAGAGGTTAGCAGGGACACCCTCCCTCCTAGCAGAGGCTCAGCATCACCACAAAAAGCTTCGAGAACAGAAGAAAAGAAAGGATGCTGGTCCATCTGAGGTCGCCTGAAGTTTTCCGGGAGATAAGCTTCATAGAGACGATTTGCTTTGCCGTTCCCCATCTCCTGCATGCACTGGAAGAGAAGCAAAACACCCGAGGCTCAGTTTGGTCAAGGACTTAACCTTGGAATACACAGAAGGAGGAACAGAACCATGCTGAGCGAGCAGGTATATAAGTACAGGTCCCTCGTCACTGAAAGGGGGCTGTGATCAACATTAGTCAGTCTTTGAGCACTGAGGCTAAGGGTGCCCCCATAGACGGGCCAAAAAAGCCAGACGGGATCAGGGGCCATGAAGTAGCAGCTGCAGGCAGCCTTCCTCCACTGTTTATTTAGTAGCTTTGGGAAGAAGCAAAAGAAACGAGATGCTAAAGGAGATACAGATTCTCTTCACCAAGGATGGATGGGCAGAGAAGGCAGCAAGGGGCTCCCTCCTCCTTGGCCGAGGATCCCTTCCAGATGCCTTGGCTTGTCGCTGGGGAAGACTCAAGATTCACAACACAGGGCTGCGTTTGACATTATGTAACCAGGCTGTGAGTGACTACAAGAGGATCCCTACATATCAGAAAGGGGAAGAGCTTCCAGTTCAGAGTGCAACATTTCCAGAAAAGCTACAGCACCGACATCTTTTGCCAGCAATGGAAACCCTCACAACTTGGCAGCAAGCTCAAGCAGACATGGAGTTGACCAGGGCCACATCTGCTCAGCTTCGGCAACAGGTCAGGTCAGGTCCCAGAATTCATTTAGGCAGATTTGCACCCATTCCACTGTGGTCTCAGAGCACCAAAGTTTCCAGGAACCTGGAGCGAAACCACAGAGCTTGCTTTGAACAGATGAAAAGAGAGAGAAGCCTGGATCTCAAAAGCCGGCAGATGCGTGTGTACACTGATCTGCATAAATCAAAATTAAATGGTGACTCAGCAATCCATTTGCGGCCACAGCTTGACAGATCAGCAGAAAATGACTGCATCTGTAATTTCTAGAGAGCAGCAGCAATCCACCATTTACACTCCTCCAGCAAAGGACATGTAGCAACCCATTTATTGCAACTTTGCTCTATTTTCCAGGCTGAACATCTCAAAATGTATGTGCCTTGCCCATTCGTGACTGCCTGGTGCAGTGTATTCTGCTGATCAACACTGGTTTGGCTCTTGTATGGGGTTCTACAAGACCCTTAAAACACTTAGCCTGTTAAAAAGAAGGCAAGACACAAAATACACATAATCCTGCAGCCCTTCTGGAGGGAGAAGCTCATTTCCCACCCACTGATGATTTAGTTAACCCTCTTTGGAAATGCACCTGGAGCAGAGCTGCATCCTAAGGGCATATGCCATAAAGGATGATGGAGGAACACACATGTTCAGTTCAGACAGGCAATTTCTTTGGGCTAAAGGTCAGCTTTTTACTCTTTGCACAAAAGAAAAACATTTGTGGCCAAAGTGTCACCTGCTTTGCATAAAAGCATCGAGGTATGTGTGGCCATATGGAGAACATCCTGTGATGAATGCTGGGCACATTCAAGATATCATGGACAGACAGTTCAGGCCATCGTCTGCTCTTTCCTCTACAACATGATCGAGATGTCAGAAAACGGTTCCCTGCAAGTGCCCATTAGCTACTGGCTGAGCAGATTGCAATGTCCCAAATTGCTCCCAGACCACTCAGTTGTGCAATGTGAAGGCCACTTGACAATCAGCACAGAAACTGAGTAAGAGGAAGACTTGAAGGGTCAAAGGAAAACCTCACTAAGAGCTGAAGAAAGGAGGTGTTACATACTGAGGTGTGTGGCAGTGATGGTGGTGGGGAGACAGAGTACTTCTTTTGTGTAAAAGAACTACTCTGAACCCTGGAGATAAGGCAGGATATGCATCAAAATAAAGACCTTTCTAGAAGTATAATATGACCTAGTTTTTGAAAACAGTAGAAGAGATGGTGGAACTGTAAGGGCTATTCAATTTCTGGAAACGGTAGATTGGACCTTACCTGAAGATTCTTTCTCTTCAGTGGGGGAGAAGTCATCCAGGAAGTGGTTAGGCCACGCCTCTGCTCGCTCAGATAGGCTATGCAGATTTCTTTTATTGCGTGGCTCCTATTGGAGGGATCTAGGCTGATCTCTCCAGTTATGTCCAAGCCCAGTCCTTTATCTGTTCTTGCTCTTACTCTATTTCCCTCTCTCTCCATTTATTATGCATGAATCCTCACAAATTGTTCTACATGCCACCCTTGGCCTGATTTGATTTTGTGGTTCTAGGGTGGGATGTGGATGAAAAAGAACCTTCAGGTAAGGTCCAATGTACTGTTCTCCTTCAGTGGGAGGAAGTCATCCAGGAAGTGGTTAGCTGTACCCAAGCTGTTCTTCTAAGGTGGGTGTTTCATTCTCTTTTTCTTTCTTGTTTGTTTGTTTTTGTTTCTGTGTGTGTGTGTACTACTTCTTGTAGTATTTGTCTGCCAAAGGTTGCCTCAGTGGAGGCCACCTGATCTATTCTGTAATGCCTCACGAATGTGAAGAAGGAGACCCAGGTGGCTGTTCTGCAGATTTCCTCCACTGCTGCTCGTGTGGAGAATGCTGCCGTTGTTGCTATTGCTCTTGTGGAGTGTGCAGTCACCTAACCAGGCGGCGCAAGGCCTTTGCACCTCATAGGCCTTGGCCATGAATTGCCTAATCCTAAGTAGGCCACTGTGATCTTTGAGACCCTCTTCCTCTGGTTCTGAACACAGAGTGATACAAACAGTGAGTCTGACCTTCAAAAAGGCACTGTCATGTTGAGGTATATGCGGAGAGCTCTCCGTACGTTTAGTTTGTGCCAGGTTTCTTCTTTTTTTTCTTTTAGGTGCTTCGGATTGGGGCAGAACGAAGGTAGCACAACCGGCTGGTTGAGGTGGAAGGCGGCGTTCACCTTTGGAAGAAAGGATGAGTCCATCCTCAAGGATACCAACTGTTTGGGATATGCACAGTTCCTTCCTAGCCGATAGTGCTGCTAGTTTGGAAACCCTCCTGGCCGAGGTCACTGCAATGAGAAAGGCCACCTTCCATGATAGGGAACAGAGCTCAGTCGTCTTCATTGGTTCAAATAGTGGTTCAGACAATGCGTGCAGTACCTTGGAAAGGCTCCGTGTCGGGAACCTGTGTCTGACTGGAGGTGCCAATTGTTTGACTCCTAACAGGAATTTCTTCACATACTTGCTTGTGGACACATTCCCACATGTCTTGTGACCTAGGTCTCAGAGGAAGTCTCAGAGGTAGTGCCCACAGCCTCATGGAGGACATTTGAACCAGATCCGGGAGCCATGGTCTTCATGGCCATGAACACGACTTCTGCCCTGTCCCTTCTGATCCTGTTGAGTGTCCTTCCTATCAGAGCTGTGGAACAGCATATCGACTCCTTCCGCTGCTGGGTCTTGGTATCTGGACAGGAACCTCCTGACCTGATGGTTCTTTGATCTCGCTAGCAGGCCCATCACGGGAGTCCCTAATCTTTGTGTGACTTGGGTGAAGACCTCCTTGTTCACAGCCCATTCCCCTGGCTCCAGGTCCTCCCTGCTCAGCCAGTCCGCCAGGAGGTTGGACAGACCCTTCAGGTGTTCCGCCCTGATGCTTGAGACAGATTTTTTTCTGCCCATCGCAGCATACTCCTGGCTTCCGTGAAGCGGGACTTTGATCTGGTGCCTCCTTGCCAGTTGACGTGAGCCTTTGTTGTCATGTTGTCAGGGTGTACTAGCATGTGGTGATTCTTTATCTGTTTTTCAAATGCCTTCAATGCCATCCTGATTGCCCCCACCTCCAGCCAGTTGATGCTATGAGTTGCCTCTGCTGTAGACCGTTTGCCTTGTGCTACGCAGTGCCCACAGTGGGCACCCCAGCCCCTCTTGCTCGCATCCTTGTTATCACCAGGTGGTGAAGATGGAGGAAGCTGATGGTCCTGCTCACGTTCGATGGTATTGTCCACTGTTCTAACTCCCTCATGAACCCTTCCTTCATCTCTACCGGGAGGTGTTCCCTCCAGGAGATATCCTTTTGGAAGGGGAGAAGAACCCACTGCAAGGCCCTAGCATGAAGCCACGCCCATGGTACCCTGTTTATTGTTGAAATCATTAGGCCCCGCAGGGCTGCCAGGCGCACCAGATCCACTCTTTTCTTGGACCTGATGCTCTGTACCAATCTTGAATCTTTAGCTGATTTTCCTCTGGTAGAGATACAGTGGCATGCACACTGAACAGCCCTGATATCATCCTGTAAGCAGTTTGGGTGAGCAGGGAGTAAAGAGCCACTTGAAATGTAATACTCTAGGCATCTGAATTGTGGGAATGAAAAGAACTGAAACAGTCCCTTTAAAGTCACAATCACAATCTACTACCTATTATGTGTGTGAATATCAGATGCTAAGAAGAAACATCTAGTGATGTTGGAGGAAGCTACTTTTCCTCTAGTACAGCACTTCCAAAACTCTCCAACAAATGGATGCAGCCCCTCACAGGTGCTGCAAACACTCATCCAGGGGCAGCCTGGAAGAAACTGACGTGTATTTCTGCCTCCTCCCCAGACCATTTGCCCTCCTCCTTCTCCAAAGTGTCCTCTATAGAGACAATAGCCAATGGGTACTCCCCCCCCCCTTCCAGCTTGGTTGGAGGTGGACGTTTTACAACCTCTCGGCATGGGTTGCCAACACCTGGGCCCCAGGGCCCCAGGACTGCCTCAAGAGGCTTTTGCGTTTGCTAGCCCCGGTCGCGCTCTCCTTGGTGGCCTCCGAGAAGTTTGGGCCTCTGTGCCGCAGTAACTCTGGTGGCCTGACCTTTTTTGGAGGGGGTGAGGGTGGGGACACTGTCCTAGCTGTTGTTGGCGGGAGGGAAGAAGCCCTCCCCTCGTGGAGACTGCAGTCTCACCTGCCTTGCTGGCTTCTGGTGGGCACCCTGCTGGGATCTGCCCTTATGGCTGGCGCCATGTTGGGGTCTGGCCTCATGGTTGCCATCCCCCTAAGGGAGGCATCTGTGGTGTTCCGCATGGGGTAGCGAGGAGTAACCTGAAGCCTCTGGTTTCTGTTTTCTCGTTCTGCGTGGGTGCCTTTATGCCTCCTGAAGCCTTGGGTGGCGGGGGCCTCTCCTTCTTCCACCTCCGGTGTCTTGTGCGGTGAGGAATCAGCAACCCATATCCTTGGACTGCTCTCCTCGTGCAGCCACTTCTGCTGCCCTCGGAGGGTTTCACGCAGCTCTCCCCCATTCACAGGGCCAGCCTTTCCGCCATCGGGGTGGCTCTGCCTGGTTGCTTCTACATCCCCTGACAGGGGAAGGCGACAATGTCTGCTATTTGACTGGCCTTTTAAAAATCTCTGGTCAAGGTATGCGGGAACTGAAGATCTAGGCTTCTCTGTCACTTCTGGATGAGGTAGGTTTGATCTCAGCCTCATCTCTCTCTGCATTCCCTCCCAAGGAGGTGATGGTGGAGGCTATTTCGGCCTGCTCAGAGCTAATATAGGGAAGGTGGCCTCTTCTAGGGATTTCTCTGGGTTCTGGCTGCCCTACTCCCCTGGCCATACTGACTTCAGAGTGTCCATCCTCTTCCTCAGGGACTTCTGATGTTTCACTGAGCCCCGAGGCCTCTTTGAGGTGGCTGGGGACCTGGAGCCTGATGAAGACTGCGAATCAGGCAAAGGATGGGTTCTCTTTCTTTTGGAGCCCCTTGAGGATTGCCTTCCCCGGGGCTCCTGTCTTGCATGCCTTGTTGGGGGTTGCCCTGGGGCTGCGCCCCCCCCCCCGGCTCCCCATGCCCTGCAGCCATTGTGGAGCCGTCCAAGGCCCTCCCATTATGGGCCAATTCCAGGTGGGCCTGATTGGTTCTGGCGCCATGCCTACTGGTGCTTGTGCCTGCTGCATGTGCTGAGGAAATGGAGGCTGCTGGCCTTGTGTTAGGGAGCCAGCCTGCCCCCAGAGCCCTGCCACCCCTCCCCAAGGGCCTGTGCTTTGCCCCTGGTTTGGTGTCGGCATGCCTCCTGCAAGGTCATTCCCAAACTGCCGCCCCTCCCCATCAGAATGGGCTCACCGCGAGGGCTCACTGGCCCATTTTTGCTTCCCATGCCACCTTTTCTTCTCCTGGCCGCCGTCCTTTTGCCCTACGACCACTGGCCACTCTACAGGCTGATCTTCCAGCTGTCTTATTTGGGCAGGGGGGGTCGCAGGAGCCCATAGGCACCTCCGGCCTCCGTGGTGACGTCTCCTTGCTGGTGGGGGAGTGGGAGCCTGTCGGCTCCACGCGCTCAACCGGTCCCATGCTGGAACCTTCCTCTGCTGTCTGCTGCGGCGTGCCTTTTGACCGTTGGGCCTCCATTTCCCCGACCCCCGATGCCTTGGAGGTAAAGGGTTGCTGCTCCCAGGAGGAGGCCTCCGTTGCGGCAGCCATTGCTCCTCCACCTGAAGCCTCAGGCGAGGGACTGGGTCCGCTTCTTCTCCTTTGTCCCCATGGCTTCCTGGGGGATCCTCAAAACGGCTTTCCTTTTGCACCTGGATACTCTTTCCTCCTATTTTTTTGTCTGGAAAGGAAGGGAAGGCTACTGTTGGCTTCTTGCTCTTCTGTCTTCTTTAAAGTTTTGGGGTTTTTCGGTAAGCTTCCTGGCTTGGAGCTGGAGCTCTAGACAACCTACTGAGCACAGGACTATGTAAGAACTGGAGAGGTCAGCCTAGGTCCCTCCAAAAGGAGCCACACAATAAAAGAAATTTGCATAGCCTATCCGAGCGAGCAGAGGCGTGGCCTAACCACTTCCTGGATGACTTCCCCCCACTGAAGGAGAATGGGTTTGTACCTAGGGAGAGAGAAGCACATAAACATATACCCTGCAAACAGTAGTCTAGGTTTCTATGGGCAGGGATCTGGCAGAAGGGAGTATATGGATGAGCTTTTAATTGCATGAGCATCCCGCTTACAGTCAGGAGAGGTACAGCGGGTTTAGTTCCTCACCTGCTAGGCCCAAGTTTCACTCTTTAATTTGCCAAACAGTAGGACAAAAAGCCAATCTGAATGACACCATACACACACAGTCCCCAATCCTATGGAGGTGATACCTTTCTCTTCAGAGCTGCCCTCAAAACACTCCTCTGCTACTCACCTGTATTTGCTCTTGTGTCCACTGGTCGAGATTGACTGATTTTACCCGGGATATGTGGACACCCAGGTTCCTGTGGATTCCAGCACAGCGGATGCAGATGAAAACGCCAATGTTCCAAGATGCCCATCTCGGCCCTGGTGGATAAAAGGAAACTGGGCATCAGGCTGGCTATACTGAATGAGCTCTGGACTGAGAAGCCATTGCAAACCAGGCTGGAACCAGAAGAGCTTCCATCCACAACATGAACTGGGTGTCAAACATTCACCGCTGGGGAACCTGAAAATTGCAGCATGCTGGCCAATGAGAGGAGGCCCATCTATTCCTGCTCCATTTGCAGGCACAAAGCAGGAGGAGGGCTGGGAAACAAGGGGACAGGCAGGGAGAGGCAGGTACCGGTACTTGCTTCTTTAAGTGACTGCTCCAGACATCTCCGGCCACCCCAAAACACACCCTGCAACAGTTATTTTGTGGCAAGGCAGGATGTTTTAGACCACTGCTTTAGTACACGAGAAAGGAGTCCTTGGTAAAGGAAAAGAGGTTTGTCTCCATGAGGGAGTCTGTTGCAAAGGTGCAGAATCACAAGATGAAGAAACTGCATGTTATCCTATAACAGTGGTGGCGAACCTATGGCACGGGTGCCAGAGGTGGCACTCAGAACCCTCTCTGTGGGCACGCGTGCCATCGCCCCAGCCAGGCCCAGACCATCATTAAAGTGTCGAATTCTCTGCCAAATAATTTTAAGTAAATGAAAGCATTTGGGATTGCTTTCCTTACTTTGTTTGGATCATCTTAAGTTAATGTATGAGTTGTTTTTTCTAAAGTAAAACCTCAGTATTCAGGTTAACTTGCCGTGTTGGCACTTTGCGATAAATAAGTGGGTTTTGGGTCGCAGCTTGGGCACTCGGTCTCTAAAAGGTTCGCCATCACTGCCCTATAACATTTTTGGCCCATCCTTCCTTTGAAGTGCGGAGGTGGTGTGTATGTACATATTCCCCATTCACCATTTTACCTGTCAGCCAATTGCCATTTCCCAGTGACCTTCTGGCAGAGGAGGGGTTTGATCCTGGCTCCCTGTGGCCCTTGTTGTATGCTAACCACTGTACCAGCTGTCACCCTCTCCACACCGCACCCTTTTAGAGCCTAACACCAGTCTTCAGGGGGCTGTACCCAGTACTAATGCAGCATTTCTCTCTGCCTGCATAACCCAATGAAAACAGAGGTCTCATTTCAGAACACACTTTACAAGCTTTACACACTTTACATTTATCCCCCAAACTATAAGACCGTCCAGTATTTCCTATTTTAGCAAAACAGGGAAGCTAAGGCAACTCACCAAAAAGGATCCAACAAAGTCAACACAGCAGGAATCTGAATTTGGTTTCTGCAAGACCTCACAAAGGGAAGTGACAGAGCTGCTCTGGGCTTTGGTTCCTCAGAGCTCACTGTCAGAGAGCATTCCATGCCAGCAATTTGGGCTTCTTCTGCCCCATTCAAAGCCTGAGCAACTTCTAGCACCAAGGCCTCCAGTCATCAGCTTTAGCAAATAAGACCTGACTGATGGCGTCTAGGAATGTCAAATGTTTTCTCCAGCCTTGAATTTGGGCAAGGCCAGATCCCACCCCCCACTATTTCCTCCAAACATAAAGCATCAATTAAAACAGCAGTCTTAAAGGGGGGGGGGGTCACATTTTTATGAAAATGACAAGAACATTCTTAGCTCAGGTGATTATGTAGAAGAGGCAATTTTGCGTTGCTCCCATGTCCCTGAAACAGAACCACCAGATGCTTTGAATGCAGCTAGCAGAGACACAAAAGTTTCCTGATAATCGCCTGCATTGCTCTGCAATGCGAGGCCCTCAAAGGTCTGCAATAGCTAGTGACAGAGTCCAACCCTCTGCTGAAAGGTCAGCCCCACAAGGCACAGAAGCAGCCCAGGTGCTGTTACCCTTTAGGTGCCCTAAGTCCAGAGAGATCTGTAGATCAGATTGCTCAAACCAACAAAACACACTGCTTTCTAGGGGAAAATGAACATTCCAAGGGTCATAAGAAAGTCTGGCCTAGGGGTGGAAGGGTGAAACATCCTGGACTGGAAACCACTCCTTTGGCAAACTCTCTCAAATTTTACTGGGGCACACAAAGCCCCGTCCATATCCCGTTCACAGTTGCTAAAGTTCAGATACTCCCCAAGTCTAAACTCTCACACACAGCTGAAGTAGGTATCTGTAGGCCAAGGCAGGCAAACTTTCCATCCAGAAGGTCACATCTTGGTCTCTCCCTGCTTTGGAGGCTAGAGAGTTGGACATCAATTCTTTCCTGTTCCAGTACCTGCATTCATCAGATGAGGGACTGAAGGGACTTGAGCTGTTTAACAAATTTCCTAATTTTTATTTATTACATTTTTTTAAATCGCCACTCATCCGAAGTATCTCATTACAGCTTACAACATTAAAACCAATAAGGCAAGAAACAACATAAAAAAATAATACAGATTAACATTAAAATATTAAAATACATGGCTATCACCATTCTACTATTAAAACAGCCCAAACTTGTGGCTACCCTCCAAAGTCCAACCTAAATAATTCAGCTTTGCATGCCCTGTGGAAACGAGGTAAGCCTGGCAGGGCACAGGTGTCATCTAAGAGTGCATTCCACACAGTAGGGGCCACAACTGAGAAGGCCCTTCCGCTGGTGAAAGCTAACTGAGCCATCTGGGGGCCAGCCCCTAGATGATGACTGAAGGGAGCGCAGGGGGGTTGTAATGGGAGAGGCAGTCCCATAGGTATGAGGGTCCCAGACCATATGAGGGACTGAAGGGAGCGCAGGGGGGTTGTAATGGGAGAGGCAGTCTTATAGGTATGAGGGTCCCAGACCATATGAGGGACTGAAGGGAGCGCAGGGGGGTTGTAATGCATTTAGGTAGGAAAAATCAAATGCATAATTATAGGTTGGGGAGACTTGTCTTGGCAGTAATATGTGTGAAAAGGATCTAGGGAGTCTTAGTAGACCATACACTGAACATGAGTCAGCAGTGTGATGTGGGTATAGAGTTGGTTTTTGTTGCCCCAGAAGGTAGGACCAGAACCAACGGGTTGAAATTAAATCAGAAAAGTTTTCGGCTAAACATTAGGAAGAACTTCCTGACAGTTAGAGGGGTTCCTCAGTGGAACAGGCTTCCTGGGGAGGTGGTGGGCTCTCCTTCTTTGGAGGTTTTCAAACAGAGGCTAGATGGCCATCTGACAGCAATGCTGATTCTGTGAATTTAGGCAGATCATGAGAGGGAGGGCAGGAAGGGTTGCCTCAGTGCTGAGTTCTTGTGGCACTTTCTTACATGCCCAGGAAAATGCTGATTGCCACTTTGGGGTCAGGAAGCAATTTTTCTCCAGGCCGGTTTGGCCAGGGATCCTGGAGGTTTTTTGTCATCTTCTGGGTGTGGGAACAGCGGTCACTGTGGGGGTGGAGGGGGAGGTATTTGTGAATTTCCTGCATTGTGCAGGGGGTTGGACTAGATTACCCTAGAGGTACCTTCCAAATCTGATTCTATGAATTCCACAGAACCTAATCTGAATTCACAGAATGCTCTTACACAAAATGGTTCAGTTACATCCTGCTCTAAAGGGCTATCATCAATTCCAAGCACTAGGTTTCTGTAGTGACAGCACTCCTATGGGACAGTCTCAGCACCTATCTTTCAAAGATAATAACAACGATTGTTTGCTGTCAAGTCCCAACTGACTCATGGGAACCCCAGGATCATGGAGTTTCAAGGCAAGAGATGAACAGAGGGAGTTTGCCATTGCTCTCCTCTGCATAGCAACCCTGGATTTCCTGTGCAGTTCCCCATCCAAGTAATAACTGTGGCCAACCCCACCTAGCTTCCAAGCTCTGTCGAGATAAGGCGAGTCAGGCCTATTCAGGCTATTCTTTGAAAATACATTTATGCATAATTCATTACTCAGTACCGTTTCCCTTTACTAACCTCCCAGGCTGCAAATTTGGTAACCTTTGGAAGGGTAAGTCAAAACGTGATGCTGGAAGTCCTTGATTGAAAGTCTGGAAGCATAATTCAGCCCAGTAACCAATGAGTGGGATAGCGCACGAACAACGGAATGACTCAGGGACCAATTAGACAGTATGTGGGAAGATATGTGGACAATCCCAATTTTGAAAATGCATGCATGCTGAAAAGCAACTTGGGGAGGCTTCCTTGCATAGGAATGACATGGGTGGGGGGGGGGTGGATAATGGAAGCTTAATCCTACTACAAGCCATATATCTTCTCATATAATGTCCCTTAAGCTCACAGCAGGTTAAAAAGAAGCACATGTATCTTTAAAAAAATTAGGTAAGAATGTGGCAGGGGAGGGGGAGAGAAATGACTGTTTTGAGTGAAAAGATTAGAAATAAGAAGGCCAAGCGGTACCTCTGCCAGCCATACCTCTGTTCCCAATCGCAGTTGGTGCTGATTTTGGTTAAGATGCATATGCGCGGAGGCTGTTCCCGCATCCGCTGTATAAAATCTATTGCCGGAATTAAATTTATTCCAGCTGAGTGACTGGGATTCCCTTTCCAAAGTGAAACACTGAGGTGGGAGTTTGGGGTGGGGGGCGGGGGAGCAAGAAGTGACCAAGGAAGCATGCTGTTGTCAGGGGAGGAGGACGTAGGCTGGGGGAGAGATGGAGGAACCCAGCAGTGAGTGTGGGAAGCAGCCGTGTTAAGAGCAGCAACTCTTTGGAGTTCTGCAGTGCAGTCCTGTGTGAGTAACTTCACTGAGCTCAAGGGCACTTATTCTTGGTAGGCGTATTTAAGATTGTGGCCTTCGCCATGCCAGAACTGATAATGCTACTTTTGCCTGGCAAAGTGACAAAGCACTGGAGTGAAAGATACACAGCAGTTACACCAATTCTTTGTTTTAAAGCAATTGGCCTGTGCCTTGGACATCGGAGACTCTTTCTCTCTCTAAGCCTCAGCTCGTAGCTCCCACTGTATCATTTGTAGCACAGGAATAACAATGGCCTACTTTACCAGGCCAATGTATGTAGTATGCTGTGCACTCTGAAGTTAAACAAGACTTGTCAGAGTAGTGGAAATACATTTCCACAGGGATGAAGCAAGAAACCAGAGGGTCATGAGT